CTTTTTTTTTTTTTTTTTTTTTTGAGAGGTTTTTGCTATAGGGCACGTGTGCTTGCCAGAAAGACAGAGAGACAGAAAGAAATCACCCCTCAGAGGGGATGGCCACGCCACAATCACTTCTCCATTCTCCTCTTGGGATCTTGGGCACGCATGCACACGCGCCCAGCATGTTTAAGCCACCGGGTCCAGGACTCAAACCGCGGCTGACTACATGAGAGTCCAGCAACATAGCCATGATACTAACTGCTGGTCCCTAGACTCTTTCTTTACAAATCAATAAGTGACTAATTCAGGATGCACTTGGAGCGCCGTGAGCCCTCCCTGTGAGCTGACTGGGCAGCCCGGGCTCCATGGAGGACCCCATGCTGCCTCCGCCCAGGACTCTTGAGCATCAGGCCAGGCCAGGGCATGTGCGTGCCCTGTGGTGACACTGGACTGCAGGTGACTTGGCCTCGCTGGGTCCGGGCATGCCCTGGGAGGGGCCCCAGGTGGAGAGGAGGCCTCTGCTAAGCAGCCCTCCTGGTCCTGAGTCGGGTGGGGTCTCGAGGCCCACCTGCAGGCTCGGGCGTGACTACGGGTGGTGGTATTGTGGCGTTTGCCACCACCCTCCCACGTGCAGAGGCAGGCGCATACCTGCGTTGGCCATGGAAAGGGCGTGGGTGATATGGAGATGCAGGACGCACCCTGGAGCCATGAGAACGGGGGACGGGCCCCTAATGTGCTCCTGGGAGACCGACTGCATGGACGCCAGGGAGACCCTGGTTTCCTAGTACTGCATGTCCTCGTGGTCGCCCGGAGGCTGAGCTATGGGTTGGAAGAAGGAGCAGAGGTGTGGTTTCTTCTTGCCCAGGGCTTCTCTTCAGTGCTGTGTGCAGCCCCCCTCCTCTGAAGACCCTGCAGCCCCGCCACTGTGGGCACGTGTGGGTGGAACTGGCCACAGCATCGGCCCCCAGCGGCCCTGCAGTTGGGCCGCTGCAGCCCCACCTGCCAGCTTTGACCAGGACACCCCCATCTCCAGCACTTGTGACCCCAGCTCTGCCCCTGCAACATGTGGGCTCCTCACCCTGCAGGCCCTGCCTGTCGTGTGGTACCAGATGCTGTCTGCCCAGTGGGCTTCCTGGAGTCGCTGCGGGTGCCCACAGAGGAGGAGCTGCTGTGCTGCTCAGTCGGGGCCTGCTCTTCTCATGTTTGGCACTGACCAGGGGTGCAGGATGTCTGCACGGGGCCCTTGCAGCAGCCGAAGGAAGAAAAGTGAGGTTGGGGCCAGCTGTGGTGGGGGTGCCCTACGGCCCCACCCAGGCTCCAGAGGTCGAGCCGCAGCCGTGGCACTGGGCAGCAGAGGGTATGCCCCTCAGGCATGGGCTGTGTGGGGGCGTCTCCTTGGCCAGGCGCTCGGGCCATCAGTGCCGAGTAGCAGCCTTGCCCGCTGTCCCCTCCAACTGCTGGCGCTTCCTGCTCAGGCCTAGCTGTCTGGTCAGTCAGCTGCAAAAGGCCTGGCCTGCAGGCGGAAATGGGGCTGACCCAGGCGTGTTTCTTGCAGAGCATTGAGCCCGTGTGCAGAGCAGGATGCAGGCAGTACCCGTCCTCACTCGTGCACTGGGCCTCCGTGTGTGGGTGGGGCCCATGGACCTTGATGGAAGGCCATTGTGGGGGACCACCGGTGGAGGCCTGGCCACAGGACTCCGGCAGCTGCCTGCTCGCTGTGGACCTGGCTGGCATCCTCAGTTCCCTGGCTGCAATGCCAAGGGCTGGGGAGAGGGCCCCTCCAGAGTGAGCCCTGACACCCCTGCTCGAGGCTGAGCCCTGTAGCTCTGGAAGCCCATTCTCTCCTGGTCCGAGACCACAGAGGCAGGGCCTAGGTGAGGGTGGGGACCAAGGTGCGTCCATCCCCACTGATCTGCTCCATCTCCGCAGCATCAAGATGGTGGTCATGTGGACCAGCGGGGACACCTTCAAGACGGCCTACTTCC